GTTTTTGTAATTTTTAGCAAATTTCAGCCTCTTTACCAATATTTGGAGATCTAAGTAAAAGTTTGTAACTGCTACACGCCCAAATATTCTATTCTCATTGAGTTATTTTTGATACTGTAGATCTGGACACTTTTCTGTCATTTGATACGTGGTCGTTTATCTCATGCTTGAGATCAGTGGCAGTCTTCCTTCTGTCCCGAAGGCTGCATAAACGAAGTTTAAGTATTCTGCCTCTTCCTTTCCTGTTTCCAAATTTGCAAGTCTCGGTCTCACGATCTAGGGTGTACTTGACAGGGTTTGGGGGGATCATTTCAAGTCTGCAGCAATTTGTCGGAGAGTTCAACCAGCATCACGTAAAACTTTCATGTGAACTCTTTGCTTTACTGACAATTCTCTACAGTTTTTGGGCTGTAAAATTGCAACAAAACTTAGTATATAGTGATAAACACTGTTTTTTATGAAGGTTTATTTGTGGAGTGCTATTAGATTGATTTCTTCTAGCATATACTGGTACCACATACTAGCTCCTTGCTTGCTTCTTTCTATATAGTTAAGACACTGCATGGGGTACCATTACAGTTGTTTCAGACCCTAAATTTGATCAGTATGTTTATTCAAGCAGAACCCTTGACATGCCCTTGGTACAAGTATATGGAAATTCTAAAGAATGATAAGTATTTTCACCCTGGCTCATTCAGTTGTCAACAGGGATCAGTGAAGCATTACCATAGTGTTGAAATTTACATTCTGTAATGGCATGGAAGAATTAGCCCCATAAAATGGAAAGTATGACAACATATTTTTTGTCCTAACGATTTTGCACAGTACTATATATTGTTGACGATTTAAGATCTCTATAACAATTAATCCAGTGTGATGCACATTAACCGTAGTAACAACTATTTTGTTGACAATTTAAGATGGCTATAACAATTATTCCTCTGTGGCGTACATTAACAGTTGTAACAACTATTTTGTTGGCAATTTAAGATGTTTATAACAATCAGTTCACTGTGACGAATGTTAACAAATGTTTTGTTTTTTTATCATTTATGTGTTCAAGGTAATTATGTCAGAAAAATGAATGAATATTCACCTTAGATGTTGTTCAAAGAATAACAAGATCCGACCATATAGTGAATTTTGTATGAACAGCGAAAAAGAAAACTTCCTCACTGTCTAGTTTTAATCGACAAGCTTATAAGTGAGAGGGTATACAATACTATTCTAGTTTTAAGCCGTGTACTATAATTAAAATATTTCCTTACAGAACAATTCTGCGAAAGAGGATCTTTACGAAATAGGAATTCAGGAGGAAGTAAGCCGAAGGTTGCGACACCTGATGTTGTAACAAAAATTGAGCAATATAAGATGGAAAATTCAACTATCTTTGCTTGGGAAATACGAGAACGTCTTATATCAGAAGGTATGTTTCAAACGTTATTAATAGTAACATATGCATGCTAAAATATTACTATCATATAATAACCTCTATCAGAAAAGCTACTAAAATGCCATAATATTAATTACAGTTATTAATGACTAGTCTTAAGTATCACAAACAGGTAAACTTGTAAACTACAAAATGCTTCTATGAGTACTCCGCCCTAGGTCATCAGTTGGGTACAATCACTGCTAGCGGTGTTTTCGGCCGTTAATCTAATAAGGCTAGTTGTGCTGTTCTTGCTATATAATTATTATGAAGAGAGAGCTTATTTCACATGATTTGTGATATGCATGTATTTCAAACACAATTTATTACAAACTTAATATCAGAAGAAATCAAATTATTGAAGTTCACAGAATGGTCAGAACGTCAACATTGTAGTACCAGAAAAAAAGGGTGTTAGTCGGTGGATGTTTCAGAAGGGATGATCTCAAAGATAGAAACCAAGACAAATAAATTGTTAACGATATTTTCCCTACTAAGAGTTCCTTAATTATTAAACTGAACACAAGTACCCATCCAAATGTGAAATCTTTGTAAATGTATTTGGTATTTTTAACCTTAACAATGTCTTATGTGACAGTTAGTCTAAACGGCCAGGTCGTAGACCTCTAAGGCTCATGCATAACATTCTCTAACTTATAACTGCTGGCTAAAGAGAGGAAAATCAATCACCAGCACCCGTCGCCTACAAGGCTAGTCTTTAACCAATAGCAGGATTGACTGTCACGACTGAAAGAACGGCGTTTTTTTTTAATCAGCGGTAATATCACAACTGAAGTCTTGGACGTTCTGACACGCAGTCAGACAGGTTGATGTTTTGACCACGCCCGGTTGTGATAAAGCAATTCCTTTCATATTAAAACATGAAATTTAACATTCACAATGAGATCATATCGAAGAAGTTTCTTTCTTATACAGCAAACACGAAACTAATCACACTTAAAATAAATTTTAAAAATTCTATAAATATAGTCATATTTGGACACGATATGGCAATAAACAACTGTAACTTGCCCAAATTTGGAAAAACTTCTAATCCGTATTCTCATTTGTCGAAACATCTACAACATGAACATTAGTCATATACTTTTAATAAACTATTTCCTATTTAATGCTTTTGCCCACGGATAAGAAAAATGTTTAGTTACATTTACCTATAACGAAACAAGCAATAACATATGGGTAACCAGGATCTGTAATTCAATCTTATTCGTAATAGCGATAGGATATATTGTAAGATTTCATAAGAACACCATCCAGCTAGCTCATCTACAAACAACTTATATATACCTGAACATAGTTTAATCGCATATCACGCTCTATATAAGGATAATACGAGATTTTGTTAGAAATTAAAAAGTAATCACGTACATATGTAAGTTCACTACCCGTATCCCTGTACTACATTCGTTATTCCCTGATTAACTCGTATTAACGGCGTCCCTTCGCCATGGATTAGAAAGACCTTAATAAGTTTGTGTTACAAGTTACTTAATGTTGGGCAGAATGAGTTATACTGTGACAAGAAGCAACTGACCGAAGCTACAAAAAAAATTCGTCCTTTCTACGAAAAAGTTATTGGCGCATCGTTATTAAAAGCAGTTTAACACCAGTATCATATAATAGACAGATCTTTAAAAAAAATAGCATTATTTTGAACACAATTTTGACATTTTCTTTTCGAAATGTGCTCTCATACTAACCACGGGATAATACTATGCTGCTTGTAACACAATAGTCAATTAGTCCCCCTCACACACTTACCTACACGTACATACAAAAATTCCCTTCAAAATAAATCTTGTATCAAATAACCAGCGCTTTTCAGATTACGTCAGATTATTTACATATAGAGTGATAACTATGTATAATTATAATAATATGTCTGGTGCCATTAGGTGGCTAAGAAAATGACAGGAAACAATCCCAAGGACCATGAGTCACGATTCATACCTAGTCACTTAGTACCGACATTAGTCGTCATTTTATTTGGGCAGAACAATTGAGTAATGAAACCAGAACAGAAATATATATTTAGGTACAACTTCGTTAAAGTATTTTGATAAAGAAGTTTAAACCGTAGAACTAATTACCTTCTAACCATTAGAGTTTAAAATGTCAATATTCACAGTACGTCATTCGGTTTGTAATATATCACATTTAATGATTTGAATACCTACAGGCAGAAGCTGCGAATGACGAGGCAAAAACGAAACAAACCACTCACAATAGTTAATGATTTGTGATGTATTTTCTAATATCAAAAACCCACTGTTTAACCTGACTTTTCAAAATTGTTAACTATTTTTTGTATAAAATTGTTAATGAAACTTAAATGTGGTTAAATCATTCTAAATCGAATATATATGAACCAGTTAGTAACAGCAAGTAAGCAATTGAAAAATAATGCATGAAACAATGTTAAAAAAAAAAAACATTACCAAGCAAGAGTCGTGAAAGAACAAATATTATCGAATAGTGTATAAAGAATTGTTTACGTTTCAGTAAGTTCAAATTATGCTCTTGGGCTTTTCGAATAATTTGGAAGATAAGATAGACGGTTGTGCTGAACAATGAAATTACATCGTCAGAGAGTGTAAATAATTGTCCGAAGACTCGATGAGTTAATGAGAGCTTTTGTTACGAAAATAAACAAACACTTTAACCGTGACAAGCAAAACGATGCTAATTTGGTGGTCAAGGGGTTCCTTCTTAGTGTTATGTCTTGAGGCTTATTTATGTTAAACAAAAGGGAAAGCAGGAAGTCGGTTACTGTTTAAGTAATAATGTTGAATCATAATAGAAATGAAAGGGGAAAACGAATCATTCCATTTTTGTCTCGCCTTTTAAGAGGACGAAAAAAAAATGTTTGATGTTGACTGTGCGTCTAAATATTGATATATTATCATTGTTTGTGTTATGTTGCATGTTAACAAAAATATTAGAATTAGAAAATTTTCTTCAATTAAAAAATATCTGATATTTTTAAATAACAAGTTATAGTTTTAACGTGATATAGACAGATTTATTAAGGATATTTTATACACCTAGTTCGTAGATTGAAGTGCAATTCGGTCATTTGGAGGTATAGGTGAAACCTCCGACGACCGCGAAATTGCATTGGATGCAAATCAAACTATGTGAACCCAAACCACCCTGTCACGCCTCACTTGCCAGGGGACTCGGTACGTTTGCACTTTGCTTCTAATAAACTTTTAGCAACGTGAAGTAAAACGCATTTGAAAATTAACCGCTACAAGCAGAGAAACAAGATGTAAAAGCAACGTTCAATACGTGTTTCCTGTTTCCAGGGCGCTTGACTCGTAATCTCAGGATCACGGGTTCGAATCCTCGTCCCACCAAACACGCTCACCCCTTTCAGCCGTGGGGGCGTTATAATGTGACGGTCAATCCCATATTCGTTGATAAAAGAGTAGCCTAAGAGTTGGCGGTGGGTGGTGATGACTAACTGCCTTCCCTCTAGTTTTTTACTAGTAAATTAGAGACGGCTATATGCAGATAGCCCTCGTGTAGCTTTGCACGAAATTCAAAACAAACCATATCCTCTAGAAGAGACTGTTTTTTGTTGTTTTTTTCAGACGGATTCATGACACTGTTTTGACAAGTTCCGTTTCTTGGGCAATTTGTTGTTGTAAACACGAAATAAACCAAAATAATACTGACAAAAAGCACAGCATGCAAAATATTTTCATTGTTGGGCAAGATGAAAAATATCTATTTTTTCCAGCTTCTGTTTTATTAAACAGCAACAGAGTGGAGTGTGTTTACAAAAGTGCAATGTAAAACTAGTAGAACTAAACTCTGGATAGAGATGCAAATGAACCAAACAAATCAACTACAACACATTTTTAAAGGAAGTTAAGTTCACCTAAGTTTTTCTGGCGAAACACTTGCAAGTAAACTAGTAGTGAAGGTGTTCTTTATCCTCTAACTGTAAACTATATTTCAATGGTCCCCCAGTGGCACAGCGGTATGTCTGCGGACTTACAACGCTAGAAACCGGGTTTCGATACCCGTGGTGGGCGTGGCCCAGATAGCCCATTGTGTAGCTTTGTGCTTAATTCCAAACAAACAATATTTCAATGTGGAAAGATTAACTCACGTCCATCAGTCTCTTTTAATGCGTTCCCCTCTTACCTTGGTGGATATAATTAATTTATAAAATACTTACTTTTACATGTAAATTCTCTCCTAGTGTGTCCAATACTTAACTTTTAATAACTTACCATACGTTTTATTATTATTCGTTAAATTTATTTGTAGTACATATATATATGTATATATGTTCAATAGGATATCACCTCACAGATGAGGTGTTCGTGTTGTATTTAGCAAAAAGCTACACTTTGGACTACTTGCGTTATTTCTATCGCGTCGAAACTATCTCAAGACTTTAAAACTGTAAGTCCGTAAACTTATTGCTGATTCACCGAGAGAACACGGATTAGAAAATATTTGATTACAGTTTTGAGCTTCTTATATTGTAATTAATGATGCTTTTCCATCTTACCATCAGGGTGTTAATACCCTGATTAAAGAAATCACTTGGCTTTGAAGCAAAAACATGTCGCTGTCCTCTTTAACACCTTCCGCATTTGCATACCTTTTCCTATTAAGATGGTGTTACAGTGAACGAAGATGATGGTAATCTGATGGTGCCATATCTGGAGAATATGGTGGGTGAGGGAGAACTTCCCAACTTCATAATCTTGTGTTGCGTCAAACGTGCCACATGTGAACGTGCATTGTCGTGGATAAGAAGAACAGCTTTCCGATTGACAAGTGAAGGGCTTGATTTAAACGTTCCAGTTGCTGACTATGGATCTCTGCATTAACAGTTCGCTGTGAATTGAGGAGTTCGAAATGAATTACTCCTTTGATGTCCCACCAAACACAAAGCATCACTTTCTCCGGATGGAATCCAAATTTTGGGGTCGGAAGTGGTTTTTGTCTAG